GTCATGAGCACGGCCATGCAGATGGGGGACACGTACTTCCAGGTGTAGTAGTAGAACTGGTAGGGCCGGAATCCCAGCATTTCCGTCAGCTCCTGCATGAACCTGCCAGGGAAGAGATGGAATCCTGCTGTTCTCCCCACCTCCAGGGGACAAACTCCCTCCCAGGAGCCCCTGTTGTCAACTGTGCTCAAGGCAGAGCCTGAAGTAGAACCCAGCTGGTCCTGGGGAGCATCTCAGTATCCCTCAAGCCTGTAGGACTTGTGGGAAACTCCTGAGGAAAAGGCCTTTTGAGCATTATCCAGAGCCTCCTTTGCTCTGACCAGCTTAGGAACAACAAGAAGCACCGGGGGGAACAAGGTGTCTTTCCAGAAGGACATGGAAACCTCAGAACAAAGGTTGATCTCGGGGGACAGGGCACCACAACCAACAGGAGATACCCACAAAAAGAACCTGCTCCTGGGGCTGGGTTACACCAGGGCAGGGCAGGAGGATCAAGGTGAACTGAGCTTTTCTCTTGGAGAAAAAGCCATACAGAAAAGAGCTGGAAGGGGTTTTTTTTTAGCCAGGAGTCACAGCACAGTTATTCCTTTTGCTGTACAAGTTCCTTACTTTTTGGTGCCATAAATCCAGGCCACGGCGATGTTCTCCAGGATCACCACGACAGTGAGAGGCAGCGTGGCTGAGTAATCATCAAACATGGTGACAAAGTAGTTCCCAGAGCGCTGCACAAAGATCAGCCCCACCAGGAAGGCGAAGATGCAGCAACCGACTGGGGGGAGCAAACAGGGGTGGTCAGCAGAGCCCCCTGAGCAGAACCAAGACCACCACAAGGTCCATTCCCTGCATTGGAGTGGTCAGCAAACCCCCCTGAGGGACACCGAGGCCTCCCCAAGGCCCATTCCCTGCATTAGCAAGGCCCAGTTCACACCCACTGCGTCCACACTCTCCTGGAACGTCTCCTCAGGGCAACGGGGACCCCCCACCCCTTCCCCAGGAGGTTGCAGGAGAAAGGCCCTCACCTGTGAACACCTCCTTGCGCACCTTGAAGGTGTCGATGATGGGGGTGGTGATGCCCGACATGGTGCCGATCATGCTGCCCAGGCCCAGGTTGATCAGCATCAGGAAGAACATGACGGACCAGAAGGGCGATGCTGGGAAGTGGGTCATGGCTTCGGTGAAGGCGATGAAGGCCAGGCCAGTCCCTTGCACCGACTGTTGAGGGGGACACAGGACCGACAGATGAGGAGAAACACGTCAGGGACACAGACTTCAAGGCCCTGAATGGCTCAGGTCTCCCTCCCTGAACCAGTCCTCAAGGAAGGAAAACCCCAGTCTGCTGCTGGTGATGACCCTGCAGGACTCGCTATGGACAGACCTTACCCCGACCCCAGGAGGGACCACAAGGGGAAAACCACAGGGACGTGGATTCCCAGCTGTGGAGGGTCTCTAAAAGAAGTTTTTCCAGATCCACGTGCCCAGGATTGACACAGGGAGGGGCAATGGGTGTGGGTGAGCTCCTGAGAGTGCCAGCAGGTACCTTGTTGAGCTCGTCCTCCAGCAGGCAGGCGTCCAAGCCCAGCTCCTTGAAGTGCCCCTCTTTCACCGTCATGATCACCCTGTACATCTCGTTGTAGTCCTTGGCAGTGAGGTGGGAGAAGTTCACGTGGGGTGGGATGAGGTCATGGCTCAGCACGTTGGTGTTCAGGTAGCCCAGGATCTTCTCGGCATTCCTAAGGGACAACAGAACCTCTCAGGTGGTGTGAGATGTGTCGGATTTACCTGCAATTTGCGGACTAGGAGCCCATCTTAGAGCTGGATTTTAGGCTGGAAGAGCTGAATGCCCAACTCCCTCAGTGAGACATCGCTAGAAATACAAGTCTTGGCCATCAGGAACTTGCATCCACCAAAACCCAGGATCACCCAGCTCCAGAGCACTTCCTCTGTTGCCTCCAGAACCACCGCAACCAGCAGCAGCAGAGACCTGCCCACCCCAAACAAATCAAACCCAGCTCTTACTCCACCACACATTTCTCGTTCATGATGTTGGCCTTGAAGCCCAGCACAGCAAACACCACCAGGGTGGCCAGCACGGACGTGAAGAAGTTGATGAAGGACACGAGTGTGGCGTCGAAGTGGCAGTTGTTGTCCTGCTTGTTGTAGCTGGAGAAGGCGATGACACCCCCAAAGCCCAGGCCCAGGGCAAAGAAAACCTGCGTGGCCGCCTCCCGCCACACCTGGGGGTCCAGCATCTTGTCCAGCTTGGGAGGAAGACAGGAGAAGAAGTTCAGTGGTCTGGTGACCCCACTGCTCACCCCCGTGGAGCCAGAGCTCCACTGAAAGGCTGCTGTGCCTCCAGACTGGGCTGGTTTGGGAGCATTTTGATGGGAGGTGGAATGAGATGATCTTTAAGGTCCCTTCCAACCCAAACCATTCTGGGACTTCTGTGATCTACCACGATCAGGTCATCCCCCAGCACTCACAAGTCCTTCTCTTTCCCACAGAGGCGTGGGGAGGTCAGGCAGAGGTTTGAGCTGACCCTGCCTCTGGGTGCTCCACTTGCCTCAGGGCCTGACCTGGGTGCTCCATCTCCCAGTGCAAAGCCCTGCAGCTTCTCAGCAGAGACCCAGCTGCCCTGGGGAGGGGTGTCCCTGTCCCCCCGCCCCAGGGAGCCACAATCCACCCAGTGATGTGTCTCCATCCTTCCCTGGCCACCTCCTCCTTCCAGAGCACATGGAGCACTGGAAATCCAACATCCTGGCTGGGGGGGGTTGTTTTTAACTCCCAGTCCCCCCCAACCACATCCCCCCTCTCCCAGGAGCCAGAGCTGCAGCCTGGAGGCCTCCCAGCGTCATTCGTCAAGAGCCCATAATTAATGTCTTCCAACAGCCTCGTCGGCTGAGCTGATTCATCTACATCTCTGCTTAATTAATTAATTAGCTGCTTAATTAATAGGCACATACCACCAGCAGAGGTTTTGCTGCCAGACAGAGTCGTTCCATGAAGTCTTTATATTTGTATTGGGCCTCAGGCTCCCCCCCACTCCCCACCCTGGTGTCTGGGCAGCTGAGGGGGGGACAGGGTGATGCTGAGGGGTGAGTTTGTGAGGCTCTTGGCTGTCCTGGCCACACCCTAAACTTTGGGTGCTGATGACCTATCAGGATCCCCGAGGTAGTTTGGGGTTGGCACTCTTGTTTTTAGGGTGGGGAGGAAAATAAGGGAAATATAGGGAACTAATGAGAGGAATAAGAAAACTAAGGGAGAACGGGGTGTGACCAGCCAGGAGGAGAACCTGTTTAGGGTTTGGGGGCTCTCACCTTGGGTGTGAACATGTGCATGATCCCATCCACTGCCCCACGCAGGAGAAGTCCCCGCACCAAGAAGCAAACCAGCACCAGGTACGGGAAGAGGGAGCTGAAGTACATCACCTGGAGAGAGAGGGATCCAACACGGGCACAGCCTCCTTTCCCACCCAGCCACCTCCCCGTCCAACCCACAAGAAGCCAACTGGGGAGAGAGGGGGGGTTTCCCACCCCAGGGTGAGGTTTGTTCCTCAGGCAGCCATGGGACCCCTTGGAGCAGGATGTTCCCAGTGCTGGAGCTCAGGTGGATTTGCTGCCCTGGCTGATCCCTGGCTGCAGGTTGGACTAAACATCTTCCTTACACTCTCTTTTGATCTTATTCTGGACCCCCTCGGAGATGGCCCCGACTGTGGAGTGGGTGTGAGCATCCCAAGGGTCACAGCACCCCTCAGCTCCCCCAGACCAGGAGGAAGGGTCTCCATCCTCCCCTGGCCACCTCCCGCTTCCAGAGCACCTGAAGCACTTGAAACCAAACATCAAAGGAGGCGTTTGACATCCCAGTCAAAGGAGAGCGACCCTGAGGTGGGAGGCTCCTGCCCCGAGCACAGAGCCCAGCCAGGCTCAGGGGGCCACCAGCACCCACCTTCCCGGAGGACTGGATGCCTTTGATCATGGCCAAGCCAACCAGGCTCCAGGCCACCAACAGACACAGGGTCATCTTCCAGTTGAGCCCCCCGCTCTCCGAGATGGAGTTGGAGATGTCCAGGGTCTCCCGGTACCAGAAGTAGGTGGTGGCCGAGCTCCTCTCACATTCTGTCTCCACAACTGCAACAGAGCAGGGACAGGAGAGCATGAGGGGGCTGGGGGACAGTCACCCACTGCCTCTAATGTGAAAAACCCACTGGAGCAGGCCAGGGAAGGGAGGTACCTCTGGAAGCTAAGAGGCAGGAATTAAAGGGGTTTGTTTTCAGCAGGAAAAATAAGAGACAGAACATAAAACCATTACCAGGTGAAAATTAGATATTAAATACAGGGAGAGACATTTTTATTTGCTATAAATCCCCTCAGAGTGTCCCAAGGAGGTGCTCAGATGATATTAAACACCATTAGCTCCATCAGTGTCTCAGTCGGGCACCAATGGAACAGCCAGGTCCTGGATCAGATCCCGGCCTCAAGTACTGAGGAAGCCTGAAAATCCACACTGTGGATTCCCAAACTGGCACCAAATCCCACTGGTGGGGTCAGAGAGTGTGGAAGACCCTCATCCAACCTCATTCATCAAGAGCCCATAATTAATATCTTCCAGCAGCCTCGTTGGCAAGGGAGAGCTCTCCCTGTGCTCAGGGCAAGCAGGGAGGACTCAGGAGACACCTCAACCTCTGGTGGCCCCGACCTGTGACAGCTACAGGTGTTGGGGGTCTCCAGTGCCCCCCAGCCCCCTCCCCTGGGAGCTGCTCCCTCCCAGCTGAGCCCCCCCTGGCCCCAGGGCTGTTCCTTACTGGCCACCGAGCCGTTCTTCACCAGGGGACACTCGCTCCAGGGCAGCGGGTACTGGAAGGACTTGAAGAAGTAGAAGATGCTCCAGCCAATGATGACGTTGTAATAGAGACCGACGAAAAAACACACCTGGGGGGAGGAGGGAGAGAGGACACGGCCTCAAATCACAGGGCAGTGGCACTGTGCCTCAAATCACAGGGCAGTGGCACTGTGCCTCAAATCACAGGGCAGTGACACTGTGCCTCAAATCACAGGGCAGTGACACTGTGCCTCAAATCACAGGGCAGTGTCCTTCCCTGTCCCCACCTTCCCGCTGGGCAGAGAGTGGGGTGCAGGGATCAGGGGATGGGCCCATCCCCAAACCAGCCCATGAGTGGAGCTGGAAATGCACCCCTTGACCTCTCAAACCTCCCCATGGGGTTTGGTTCCACCCCACCCGACCCGAGGTGGGGTCTGGGGGCTCCCCAGGGCGCACTCACGAGGCAGCTGGCGTAGCCAATGCCCCCCAGGCGGGGACAGATGTAATTCCAGACTCCGATGCTGCCCCTGCGGATCCGCTGCCCCACGGCCAGCTCCAGGAAGAACAGGGGGAGCCCGATGATGATGAGCAGGACCAGGTATGGGACCAAGTAAGCACCTGGAGGGGGCGAGAAAGGTCGTCATGGACCCCTCTCTCTGTTCCCAAGGACATGGAACAGGGATGGACAGGCAGGGACAGGCTCTGCCTGGTCCATCAGCTCCTTTGCAAATGGCCTCAAGTTGCACCAGGGAAGGTTTAGATTGGATATCAGGGACAATTTCTCCATGGAAAGGGTGGTCAGGCCCTGGCACAGCTGCCCAGGGCAGAAGTGGAGTCACCATCCCTAGAGGGGTTTAAAAGGTGTGTGGATGTGACACTTGGGGACACGGGGTAGTAGTGAGGATGGCAGTGCTGGGTTTGGCTTGGTGGTCTTAGAGGGCTTTTCCAACCTAGATGATTCCATGATCTGGGAATGGAGATTAGAGCCTGGCCAGCAGAGAAGCTTGTGGAGAGGAGCAAACATACGTGTGGAAGGGAAGGGTGCAACACCCCCTGCCACTGTGGGGACATGTGGGATTGACCCCAAAGCACACAAAGACCCCCTGCATCCATAGACACTCCATGTGCAAGGACACCCCTCCAGGAGCCCTCCTGTTCCCCGGGTCCTGCCTATGCTCGTCTGCCCAACACATCCCAAACAGCAGCACCCACCACCCCACTGCCAGCTGGGGCAGAGCAAAATCCTCTGGCGGGGGAGGCCCAGCTGAGAGGAAGAAGTCAGTTAATCTCTGTCTGATTGTTGAGGCTGGAGAGGAACCCGGGGCTCCCGGGGCCAAGTGCCCGTAAAGGATGCGATGACTCAACGCTGCAGCTGATGAACGACTCCAGCCTCCTGCCAGGAGCCGGGATGGGCTCTGAGCACGTGGCTGCCTCCGGCAGGGCAGCCGGCAGCGAGAATTCCCGGCTGGATTGACACCTCAGTGTCCCCGGCCGGGACCTGGAGCAGCCGAGGCTGCTCTGAGCAGGGGCTCTGCAAATCCAGAGGTTGGGATCATGTGTTAGAAATGCAGGGGGAGCAGAACTGAGGTGCAGCAGCTCCGGGTGATTGGGAGGGGGAAAGGAGAGGCGGGGAGCAGAGCTGGAGCTGGTGGAATTGGGGAAGGATCACAAGCATCCCATCTCTGCAACGCCCTCCCGGCCATCCCAGCCTGAGGCAGACGGACACGTTCACGTGGAAATGTGTCCAGTACTGGAGATTTTCTTGCTGTGATGTCTGGGAAGCTGGGCACCAGCTCAAGCCTGTACATCACCATGCTCAGCAGCACCAGGGCCAGCCTGTGCCAGCTCCTGGCACACCGAGTGCTGGGAATTTGGCTCCAGCCCATCCTGCTCCCGGCACAGCGTCATCCCCCGCAGGCACCTGCTCGGGGAGCAGGAGAGGAGCAGCAGCCACCACCACATCCCTGCTCAGCACGGCCAGGAATGCTCTGTCCATCCCTCCCCACCTCCTGCATCCTGCTGGCTGGCACCACGCCACAGCCCAGGGGGATCCCAGCCAAGGGGGGGAAGAAAAGGCAGAAAAATCAGCGTCTGCCCCATGGGACAGAGAGATGAGGCCACCTGGGCTAAAGAAAGGGAAAGGGAAAGGGAAAGGGAAAGGGAAAGGAGTGCTGACTGCACATTTGGCAGGATGACTCATCCTAATGACAACTGGAGATGTTTTAGTTATTGAGGGCGCTGCAGCTTTTCCAGCTGTGGGGCTGGGGGCACAAGGGATGCGATGCTGGGAACATGGAATGCTCAGGGGAGATGGGAGCACTGGGTGGGCTGGTCCTGGCCCCGGCAGCACTGTTGGGAAGGGGCCGGGTTTGGGTTAATGGTGAGGGACCCACCCAGTCAGTGTCATGAAGGGTGGGGGGTCTCAGCACAGCTGGACGAGGCCTGGCCCTCTGGGCTGCTCCTGGGAGCCCAAGGAGGAGGCACGGGGTGGGATGAGAGAACAGACTGGTGGAAGGAGGATTTGGGAAAGGACTGGAGTCTGGACAATGTGGCTTCAGGACACAGGGAAACAGGAGGACTCTCTTCCCATTTTATCCAATGTGACTTCAGGACCCAGGGAAATGGAGGGATTCTCTCTTCCCATTTTCCCCCTAGTTTACAAAATTGCCCCAGCAGGAATCAGGAGCTGCAGCAAGAAATCCTGGGTCCTGCCCTGGGATTCACCTTGACTTTGGAGTGGGCAGGTGGACAACCTTTAGGAAGAGGCTGCCCAGGAGATTCCAACAACTCAGCACAACTCCTGGCTGCCCCTTTCCACCTTCAGAGCCCACATAACCCACCTTAGAGCCCAAATAACCTCTGTCCTGCCCCAGCATCCACACCCCGATGTGTGGTGGGGCACAATTGGGCCATATCCCCCTCTCCAAGGGCTGATCCCACCCCTGCCCCGGGTCTCACCTCCTCCGTTCTTCTGGCAGAGGTAGGGGAAGCGCCAGACGTTGCCCAGCCCCACGGAGTAGCCGATCTGGGCGAGGATATACTGCAGTTTGCTGTTCCAGGCCGGCCTCTCCGCATCCAGGTCCTCCTCCCCCTCCTTCTGCTTGTCCCAGGCCTCCCCGCCCGTCACGTTGAGGACGCTGCGTTTGTAGTCCACGGGCTCCTGGTGGGCCAGCAGGTCGGCCACCGACTCGGTGACATGTTCGCTGCTGTGCTCCCGCTGCGTCACCTTGCTGTTCTTGGGCA